CCTCCTCGAGGTCGGCATTGTCAAAAAAAAAAAAGAGGGAATAGTCCCTATGAACTACGAAGCGGTTTGATCCCCGAAAGGGGTACGTAGGCAACCTATCCTCGAATGGTGCAACTGCTCCCCCTCCCAAAACAGGGCGGGACTCAATTTCTTTTAAATCTTCAAATCGTCTTCGTTTTGTAAGTTAAATTCAATAAAACTTTTTTCTAAGAATATCGTGTTCATTATCATATCGGCATCCTGGCCAGATGCTCGATCCGCCTAAAGCTTAAGTCTGATCCACTTTAGCTCGGCAACTTAAAAGCCAAGTTCGCCTTGCATTCTACAGTTTTACCTGTTTTCCTATATCCGAGCCATGCGTTGTTATCAGCCAAGTCAGTCTTGCATCCGCATTCGACTCGGGTACTTCTAAGTGGTACCGATGATCAACGCCGACCTGAATCGCACATCGGGTATTCACACTTGGAAGCGAAGTGGTACGAACAATCATAAGCCGGGCCTCCCGCACGTTCGTATTCACACTTCAGTATTCAAGCCAGAATCCGCACTGCAATTCTTAAGTCATGCGGAATATGTAAGCCGACCTGATCGCAGTATCGAATTCATGCCTACCTAATTCATTTGTTTGTTTAATACTTAGGAATTTAAATCACACAAACTTATGCCGATATCACATCGCCGTTGTGTTCAGATTTTCAAACTCAAAAATGCTAAGTTTTTCAAATCGAAAACTTTCATAAAAAGGTACATGATTACATAATACGAAAATTACAAAAATATTTAAGAAAAAAGCTTAGTCTTCGGCCTCCTGACTGCCAACGTGGTCGGCATCGGCCTCTTGACTGCCAACGTGGTCGGCATCGATAACACCGTCTTGATCGACTTCAAGCTCTTTTCCCTGGTCGGTCCCTTCCGGAGCCTTGGCCGCATCAAGCTGAGCATCACTGGAAACTTCAAGGAAGACTTCCGCTTCTTGAACTTGTAGTTCGTCCGACGTGAAGCTGACTTCTTCGAAGGCCTCCAGTTGTGCCTTACTCTCGCTAAGAAGATTTTCAATATTCTCCTCCACCAGGGCTGGAAAGCTGTAACCTTGCCGACGAACGATCTCAAGCGCCCTTTTTGCTCCGATCCATTGAGCAGCCGTCGAAATCAACTCATGGGCTTTCGCCTTCCGCGCGAGTGATTCTCTCACCTTTGCGACTAAACCCGCATAATGATTGTTCACCGCAATCGTCGCGCGCTTTGCCACTTCTTGCCCGAAGGCAAGTTTCTCTTCCGTCGCAGCCTTCTGTTCGGCCTCCAGCTTCTTTCGAGAATCAGCCCTCTCTTTCTGGATCTTCTTCGCCATTCGATTGAGAAGTTTGCTTTTCTCAGTATCATCGGTGCGAACCTTCTCGAGTTCCTCAGAAGATGTATGAAGCTCGTTTTCCAGCTCGGCCCTTCTTCCCCGTTCCACCTCGAGAGCTTCCTTAAGACTCTCCACTTTGGCTTCCACGGCCAGGAACTTCTTCGCGTCCCGGTCGTACTATTCACGACAGTCAATACCGTACTCAGAGCCTGTATTCACCAAAAAAAAAAATCAATCAATCAATCATTCAGAAATTTCAAAGGGCCTGCAAAAACAAAGGCATTCGGGACATTTTTTATCTTGGCTTGTTCATGCGCAAAGCGTGCAATCGCATCGCTGCGAATGTACCCGCGAGGGTCAGTAGATGGGCCTGCCGGGTTATCTCTTAGCTTGAGGAAATAATCCAGGCAGGATACCGAATCATGCACTATTGGGCTATCCCTGCGGTAATCGTAGGAAAACCCGAACGGGCGAAGTTGTCTCTCAGCACGAGACTTCTTTGATGTCCGCGGTTCGGAATTTTCTGCCGAACTCCTTTTCCTCGAGTTCATGGGGCTTCCATCGCCGCCTTCAGCCCCGCCTACAACGACATGACACTGATCGTCATCCTTCCTCGGCCCTTGCTCGGTCTCTTTGCGAGCTTTTTCAATCTTCTTAGCAGCCTTCCTATCGGCCGATTTCTTAGCCTTGGCTGCTTCCCTCTCAGCCTTGCTCAGAGCCTCCTGCTCAGCTTTCTTAGCCACGGGACTCTCTGGATTCTGAATTGGAGACACTAGGGCAGTTTCCAGATCGGTAGATAAATCCTTGAAAGCAACAGACTTCATCTTCTCTCGTCGTCGGGAGCGTCGTTCAAGCGCAACTGAGAAATGAATTTAAAATAAGGTCGGATGGAAAGCCCCCAGATCAAAGCAGGTTTAAAAGTCAGATCGAACAAACCTCTCGTCCTCGCAATCCTTTCTTCCGTGATCTCGGGCCAAGTGATCGCGCTAATCGCAGTGAACCGGTTGGAGATATCGTCGATATCGAGAGGATCGTCAACAAATGGAAGAGGCCTGTTTCCTGTAATATAAAAGACTCGATTAGAAAAAAAATATATATATATATAGCGTTAAACTATGTTGCATATCGGTCATGTCTCTACCCATGACCTCCGCCCATTTCGTTCTGATCGGAATATCTCTATCTGTTTCGGCGATGGAAAATTCGTTGATTAGCACGAAGAAATAGCGATCTCTCCAGTCCACCACCTTGGTCTTATGACCACCAGTTACAATGTTGTATCGAGTCTTCATACTCGTATAATACGAACCCCGGTTCCTCAAATTGGCCTTCGTGCGACGGGTGTTCGTCATGGCATCAAACGCTGCTCGACTCAGCGGGATATCATGCCTGGTCGACATCACTAGCATGCTGACAATCAGCCGTATCGTCGCATGGGTAAACTGGCTGATCGGCATTTCTTTGTGGGCAGCAAATTCCAGAAGAAACCTCGGGAGCGGGAACCACAGATGGAAGTCCGAGAAAAAACACTCGTGTAGACATAGCCATCCTGTAGGGGCATCCCACGGTCGCTCCGACGGGCTCGGAACCATGAAGATCACCTCAGGACCGATGTCGCATTCTTCCTTCAAGGTGACCAGTGATTCCATTGTCGATTTGGTCGGCATCACCCCGAGAGCATTGTCGCAGATCGGCCTAACTACCGGCTCCCCTTTTCGCTTCTTGATCCTCTTCACTGGCGGATTCATATCGATGATTCTGAACTGGTTTACTTCGTCTTCGACAATAATGGCGTTCAGCTCGTCCGAGATATCCATCTCGTTCGACCCACCTCTCACATCGTCTTCATCACGCAATTCTGGAATCTCGAATTCGACCCTGGACGATGTCTCCCCAGACCTTTGGGCGATTCCAACTTGATCGGCATGGAACCGATCAGCCGCAGCTTGCTGGTTCATCTCTCGAACGCGTTCCTGGAAAGCACGATCCAACGCCGACAACTCGCTCGCATCCGAAGACCGATCCGACTCTGGTTCCTCAACGACGACCCTTTTTCCCTTCGATCGTCTTTTGTCGACCTGATCGTCAGCTCTCTTTGGTGCCGATCTGGTTTCCTCTGACCCTGGTCGCCTCTCCCTGATCTGAATACTTTTACCCATGCTTGATCGGCGTTCAGAACGAAACACGGCGGAGGTCTAGTCGGCAGATCTAAAAAAACTAAATAAAAGAAGAGGGAGAGAGCAAACCTGATTTTGACAGAGTTTCGCTAAAAATGCAGAAGTGAGGAAATTAAAACCGAACCCTCTTATTTATAGAAATATCTGGACGGTTATCAAGAATCATCATGAGCACGGCGACTCCCCGCATTTCTTCTCATTAAAGTTTAATCGGCTTCTTCGACTTCTCCTGCTAGGGTTTGACACGTGTCAACCCTAGCTCGGCATGCGTTGGCCTAGGCCTAACCTACATCGTTTTTGGGCTGGAACTTTTCGCGCCCAAAATCACAATCTGACCCTCATCACCGTGCCGATCAGAAATCCAGGTAATATTTTGCAGCCGACCAGAATTTATATCGAACAGCATTTCTTTAAATTCGACAAGCAATGCACCCTCACTTGTCGAACTGGGGGGGGGACTTACTGTTAGAGATGAGATTCGTACCGTCTCTAACAAGCCTGATATGAATTCTAGTCGGCCCATCTAACAATTCCCAGGTCGGCAACATAAAAGGAAACTTCCATTTATCAAGCGACCCGGAGAAAAAGGAAACTCCTTGACGACGAGAGTTTCCTATTCCGAACAGGATGAAGACTGACCTGATCGGGTATAAATATAAGAAGTCCTCGACTTCTCAAAAGACCTGAAAATCATTAATCCAGACCTAGAGCAAACCAAGCAATCAGGTTGTTCTAGCTTTTGGTTAACTTTCCTTAAGAGTTTTAGGTCGGCGTTCTCATTCCGACGACCTAGACACCGTTGTATTCAATCAAGCTCCGGCTTCTTCTAATAAAAAATCTCTTTAAAACTTTCCAAACCCTAGTTCTTTCATAGCTCGAATTTGGGTTTTTACAGGTATATGTGTCGTTTATGATTGTGTGTTGTTTGTGAAGCATGAGTGCTTAAATTTATAGGATAAGATCGTATGTCATGTTTGACGTGGTCCAAAGTCATTCTATACATTTGTATTTAGCATTTTTCAAAGGGGCAGTTAAAATGTTTAACGAGTCTATTGTTTACTAGTCTCAAGTTATTATATAGCTAGAGTCCTCCAAATAAATATATTATTATGGAGTATAATTTCTTCCTTTTTCCTTTTCTTTTATAGTTATATATTGTTTAAAAAAAGAAAAGGAAAAAGGAAGAAATTATACTCCATAATAATATATATGGCTCATTTGTTAATTAGTTTTGGTTTTTTTTTTCTTTCTAAATGTACCGAAGTTTTGTAAATGTTAATTTTTTCTTACTTAATAAAGTATGCTTTAACTTTGATGTGATTTATCTTCGTAGAAAATTGCTGCTATTTACATGTAATGTTTTTATTTGATAATTTGTTTTTGCTAACCTTCTTAAGGTGTGTACATTTTCTTCCTTTGACAAGTAACAACTCTTTAAGACTAATAATTTGAATATCGACGAAAACTTTAATCACCCTGACATTAAAAAAATGTGAGACCAAATCAACATAGGAAAAGTAAACTTAATATAAAATATAAAATTAGGTGAATACACCAGTTTTATTTTATTAAGCATAGCCTTTTAATTCATATTACATTATAACTTAAGTGTCGCAAAGACAAACACTCTTAGTGACTTAATATTCAGTTCTTAAACTTGGCCTCAAGGTCTTTGACAACATTGACATCCAACTGGAACGCCATAGCCAGAACATCTGGATTAATTGGAGGCATCGACCCAAACACAGTATCTGCGATTGTGATAACACCAGCGTTCTGACTACTCAGTCCCGCAAAGGCTACGGCAGGGGTTTTCCCAATATTTACCTGAAAATGTATCATTCCTATGGGGAATACAAAAACGTCGCCTGGTTGCAATACTTTGGCGAATAAACGATTGTTATCTTGATTGGAAGAAACGAAACCGACATATAATGTTCCCTCTTGAACGACAAGAATCTCAGTGGCACGAGGGTGCGTGTGAGGCGGGTTTTGGCCATACGGTGCATAGTCAATGCGAACCAAGGATATTCCCATGGTGTTCAGCCCTGGAATCTGATCAACATTTACTGTTGTCACATTGGATTTGACATTATTATCAGTGTTTCCGGCCTTATTGAGACCTGAGAAGAAGAAATCTTCTGCCTTGGCTTGCTTAGGATCCTTACAGAATTTGCCATTTACAAAAACTGCACGTAGATTTCATTTCAAAGCATATGTTATCACATAGAATTTAACCATACTTAAGGAGAAAACAGAGAGGTAAAAAAAAACCGGGTTTTATATACGCACCACCATTTTTGGGGTCATCAATTGCGACACAGAAGTCTTGGAGTGGGCTTGGGTCATAAGCTTTGGCAAAGGAAATGAACAAAGCCAATATGGTTATCAGGATGAGAAACATGGAAACCTTCATTTTCAAACTAAGGTTTCGATAAGGCTTCTTTTAAGAGTGTTTATTATGTGTGTGTGTGTGTTGTTTGTGAATTGTGAAGCATTTGAGCTTAGTATTTATAGGACAAGAGCGTATGTTATATTTGACATGGTCCAATTCATTTATATATTTGTAATTCGTATGTTTCAATGTGGCAGTTCAAAAACGTTTAACAAGTCAATCGATAACTAATCTATTTTTAATTAATTAAATTGGCTTTGCATGACTATATACACAGGACCACGACCAAAGCTTGTAAGTTACTGACTTGTAATATATTGATCGAGCAAACTAGTCAATACAATAGTCTCCAAGAAATTTTAATTTTTTTCTTCAAATAATGAAACAAAAGTTATATGGTGTGCCACGAGACATACATCTCAAACATGGTAACCTAGGGTTATTTTGTTTAATGTGTCTTAGCATCGTGAATAAGCGAATGTGAAACGAAGTACCGTGAGTGGAGTAATGACATCCTAACTGGTGAACGTACTTGTGATTCATAAGTTAAATCATAACACTAGGTTGATTTTTGTGTGGTACTGATGCCGTACGCGTATTGCGATGGCTTGTTTATCACTTTTTTTTTTCTACTATTACCTTTTTTTTTTGGTAAATGGTAAATATTCATTGAAAATGATAAGTTTAGGTGTTACAAAATGTGTTAACAATTTGATCGACCTAGAGATTGGTCCCATGGCAAAAAAGAATAAAAAACATGGAAGCAAAAGCAATCAGTCCTTTGTAGTTTCCATTGCCGTGAAGCAAATGGTGGTGACAAAGAAGCGATAGTGAACTTGAAAGTCCCAGAGGAAACCGAGATCAAAGAAAGCTGAACAAGGCAGACATCTTGAAGGCTGCTTGAGACCGGTACTAAGCAAGAGGGAAGTTGTTTCACTGGAAACCCGAACAGAAAGCCTTTAGCCAGGGAGAAAAACAGAGGCCTGAACGAAGACTGTCATCGACGTCTAAGCTTCGACGCTCAGCCAACTAAGCCTAACAACCAACTAAAAGACGGAACTAACTACTAAAGATACAAAAATGCACACTCACTCTACCAAAATCTTTCTCCAATGTCGGCTAGTACAGAGTTATGCGAATCACATCCCTACTAACTCCTCCGAAAGCAAAGAAACCAAAATTTGCAGTAAAAAATCGAAGCTGCCAAGACAGCCTAAAAAGATCGAAACCTCTACACTAAATAAGCAATGGGAGACACAAACCCAAATCCGAGAAGAAGAGCCACATAGAGAGAAAAGCAGGGAAGAGGAACCCACCACGAACCACAATCAAAAGCCAAGCTCACCTTCCCCTAAACACCATCGGCGGATTCTGAAAGAGAACGGCTATGACTACCGGGCACGCCAGAGCAGAGAAAAAGGTCCAAATAATCTGGTCAGTGACTGAATCCCGTCCTCGAGAACCTAGACCCACCGAAGAGAACAGAGAAACTGTCGTCTCCCCCTGGCCGCCACCTACAGATCTGAAACCCGCTGCGAGGCAACAAACGAGAACCAAGGCCCAAGCCTCACAGTAAGACAAGAGGAGAGCAACGCCGAGAACACGCTGTCTACTGAACGAGCCATCGCGAAAGCAAATCGGAGCCACGCCGTCGCAGCTTCTAAGAGAACCCAAAATGTCGATCTGAAAAGCAGAGCAAATCTTCACCATCGAACCGGAGCCCAGCGGAGAAGATGCCCCTAAAATAGGAAAGGAAGAAGGAGGGAGCCCTCTCGCAGCACCGGCGAAGAGCGCCGGCCACCGGAGAGGCAAGACGAAAATAATGGAGAAGACCTTCGGCAGCTAAACCTAATCGCACAAGGAGGAGAGAAAAAAAGAAAAAGTTTTCAAGTAGAGATGTTGACCAACACTGTGTTCTACTATTACCTTATTATCTATTATTTTTTGTGCTAAAAATATGACCTTATTAATGAAAATAACAAAACGATTATTAGTTGTCATTAGTTACAAATCATTATTATTTTAGCAGATATAGAGATATTCGGCAGATATAGAAAAATATCACATGCAAGTATTCAATGACTAACATGCATACTTGATACTTGTGACGACGTAATTGCTTAATAGATTTACGGTAGACAGTGCAAGTCCGTTATGACGAAAGCAGATTTATGATAGACTTACGATATATTTTGCAAATACGTTATGAATACGGCACAGCTACAGAAGATGACGTCATTAATGCTTTAATGGGCAAATTTACAAGTGCAACAAAGACGAAGACGATGTAAGTAATTCTGCTTTTAGATAGACTGGTTATGGATATTAGGAAGAGTATTCTAGAAAAATATAGGTTGTTTGGGTAATAAAATATTAGGTACGCATTATCTTGGTTATTTTCAAAGTTTATTGGCCTATTTGAAATGGTTGTCTCTTTAGAAATGTAAAGACTAATTCAATGTAGGAAAAGTTAAGTTTAATACTGTTGTTTACGGGGAAAAAAGATCATTTAGTTGGTAATATCCCAAACTTAAAACCAAAAAAAAACAAACAAAAAAGACAAAAGAAGCGACCATATTTCTACAGATGTTAAAGTCTCATTAACCATTTCAATTTGTATGTCGCTTTTGTACAACTTATGCTTCCAGAGGATCACTTGTTACCTTTGCTTTGTTTTAAAATATTGAAGTTTTATTTATCCAAACCAAGTTATGTTGGTTACTTTGTTGAAGATATTAGGAAGAGTATTCTAGAAAAATATAGGTTGTTTGGGTAATAAAATATTAGGTACGCATTATCTTGGTTATTTTCAAAGTTTATTGGCCTATTTGAAATGGTTGTCTCTTTAGAAATGTAAAGACTAATTCAATGTAGGAAAAGTTAAGTTTAATACTGTTGTTTACGGGGAAAAAAGATCATTTAGTTGGTAATATCCCAAACTTAAAACCAAAAAAAAACAAACAAAAAAGACAAAAGAAGCGACCATATTTCTACAGATGTTAAAGTCTCATTAACCATTTCAATTTGTATGTCGCTTTTGTACAACTTATGCTTCCAGAGGATCACTTGTTACCTTTGCTTTGTTTTAAAATATTGAAGTTTTATTTATCCAAACCAAGTTATGTTGGTTACTTTGTTGAAGAAATTTACCATATGCTATGAGAAATCGGTGGAACGAGCCTTTCTACTATGGTTTCATCAATTTTGGTTGGGAACAGTGAACACATTAATTGTTAAAAATACATAATTATTGCCGAAGCTTATGTATTTTGTTTTGTTCTTAGGTCCGTACCATTTAACTTAGCAAAATAAATAAAATAACAATAAGTTATCCCAGCGCTTTTTCAATGGTAAAACAAAAATGTTGACAGTTTTTGCATCATAAGAAAAATCAAATTATATAGTTTGCGACTTTTTTTTTTGTTTGAAAAAGAATAGTTTGCGACTTTAGATGTCATTTAGTAAACAAATGATGCATTTCTATGAAAGTTTCTATACTAATATTATCTTTTATTTTTGGCTTGTTTTCGCTAAAATTATTGGATTGGGTATATTTTTATCATTTTCGATTCTTACAGACCTGATTATGTTGTATCCATGAAACTTTTATTCATCTAGTATTACTATAATATAGTGTTAAATATATTTATTAGCAATGCTAGAATATAGAAATTATTTAGTTTAACAACACCATTATTGCTTTATATAACATAATTCTTAGGTTTTACATTATTATTTTTGTGTTACGTACAATGATAAACACACTTAACGACGTAGACTCATTTCATGGACCAAACCTGGCCTGGAGTTCTTTGACAATATATGGGTCCAACTGGAAAGCCCTGGCTAGAACCTCGGGATTAATCGGAGGGTTAGACCCGAACACAGCGTTTGCGATTGTGATCACACCAGCGTTCTGACTACTCAGTCCAGCAAAAGCAACAGCAGGGACTCTTCCAACGTTTACTTGAAAATGGATCATTCCTATAGGGAACACAAAAACGTCACCTGGCTGCAATACTTTGGCGAATAAACGATTGTTGTCTTGATTGGACGAGACAAAACCGACATATAATGTCCCTTTGACAAGGACAAGGATCTCTGAGCCACGAGGGTGCGTGTGAGGCGGGTTTTGACCATATGGCGCATAGTCTATGCGGACCAATGATATTCCCATGGTGTTTAGCCCTGGGATCTGATCAACATTGACCGTGGTCACATTGGAGCCAACTTGATTATCAGTGTTCCCGGGAACGTTGAGGCCTGAGAAGAAAAAATCTTCTGCATTGACTTGCACCGGGTCTTTACAGAACCTACCATTCACAAAAACTGCATGGAGAAATATAGTTTCCAAAGAGTATACGTGATTATAACATGCAAAGTTAAATCATAAGGAGAATACTAAGTATACGAATAAATTTCTTTTCGTACCGCCATTTAGGTCATCAATGGCGACACAGAAATCTTGGAGTGGACTTGGATCATAAGCATTGACAGAGAAAATGATGGCCAAAGCCAATATGGCAATAGGGATGAGAGACTGAGAGACCATCATTTTAATAAGGCTCTCTCTGATTTTGTTATACGTGTGTTGTTTGTGAGGCATGGGTGCTTTAACGTTTTATAGGACAAGTGCATAAGTCATACTATTTGACATGGTCCAAATGGTTATATTTATTTAATTGTAGTTAACATGTTTTTACTGGCAGTTTAAAATGTTTAATGGACTGTTAGTTACAGAAGAGCACTTAAACAAACAAAAAAAGAGAGAGACCGGTAGTTGGAATACGATTAGGAAGATTTGCCAAATGTTTATGGGTAGATGTCAAATAACGTAAAGCATAATGTTTGGAGAATATACCACGATGGCTTAATTTATTTTTATTAAATGAAATCGGATTTGAATAATAATATCTAGGTAAGAAAGGACCAAAAGTGTCATAGGAGAAACTTATCTTATCCTTCAATTATACCGTTAATGGCACGAGAACAGCATTGTGCCACTTCAGCCGTAGCAGCTACGTCCGCAAATATCGTTGAAGCGAGTTCTGTTAATATGGTTAGTACTTACATTTTAGGTAGCTTAATTGTTTACTGGCCTTACCTCTATATGATGGTATATTATATTAAAGTATAGATATGATCATATGAATACATAAAATGTGAATATAGGTCTGATTATTCCAGATGATGACCGAGATTTGGTACAAGGGGGAATACTTATATATATATATTAGAATAAAAAGATAAACGAAGAGAGTTAGTAAGAAGTTACATTAGATTTCTAATTCAAAATTAATTGACAATTAGTATAATTGACTCATGCCATTTATATATTATTTAAAAATTTTGCCAATTTCTGATGTATGGTATTATTTTCTAGTACACTTCTTTAAAATAATGATTTCTTCTGCTAATGATTTTGGTATATTATATACACAGATTTTTTATTCTATTATCCTATTGCAAATGTACAACAAATGTTATACAAAATTAAAGATCGAATCTACAAATACCAGTATTAGTATTACACAATAATTCATAACTAGATGTTGGACCTGCGCGCCCGCGCAGGTATATGATTCTTGAAGTAAATTTTATAAATGTTTAAATTATGTAGTATAAGAAGATTTATTATATATTATGTTATAAGATAGTCTGTTTCCTGATACATATGTATCATGGTTTTATTTTGAGAGAATGAATAGTCTGTTTTTCATTTGTCTTTTTTTCTTGCTAACAGAAAAGCTAATTGTCTTGTTGATGGATTAGCTAACTCTGCTTTTTCCCTTCCTCTAGGTGTCCAGTTTTTAGATTTGGTTTCACCTACTTTAGTTTCAATTTTCAGTTACGATATATCTCCCCCACCCCCCTCCTACAAAAAAAAACTATAGTTATATTAAATTAAAATTATTTATTTATGTGTTATAAAGATTAAAATTAAATTTTGTAAATACAAAAATATAAATTTGAAAATAAGATAATATAAGTTACGTGCAACTAAATCAATATAGTAGACACACAAGTTGTTATTGTAAAATATGATAATATGTTATTAGTTTTACATGAAATTTATGTTTTTTAATATTGTATTTAGTTTTTCTTCTTCTCCTTCTCCCTTCCTATTCTTTCTTCTTCATTTCTATTATCTGTTTCTTTTTAAACAAAAAATGAAGAAGGAATTGTTGGGGTCGGTCTCCGCTTATTGTTGTTTTCCAAACCCAACTTTTATATTTAAAGATATAATATATTACTGATTTTATATATAACTTGTGTTCTTATGTTGTAGTCGGTTTTTTACAGGTTTGAATATCTAGTTGTAATTTTGTTAACCACACTATTATTTTTATTTAAAAATATTGATCTCGAATCATCGGTTTGGTATATCTTGTTGGTTTGGTCCACCTATCTGGGACATGAATGGTTTAATCCGTCTTTATCAATCCAACTTGTTGTTTCTGCTTGGCGGTTCGCCAGTTCAGCTCGGTGGTTTGCCAGCTCACCTTGTCAGTCTGGCTTATCACCTCTTCGATTTGGCTAGACTCATTTCCATTACTAACCTTTTCTTTGTTGATTTCGTCATAGTGGAGACCAACCCCAACAATTCTTTCTTCTTTTTCTGTTTCTCCTGCTTCTTCTTCTTAATCACTTCTTCTTCATCTTTTCTTCTTCTCTCCCTTCATTTGTTTTTGTTCTTCTCCTTCTCCTTTTTATCCTTTATTTTTCTTTTTTTTCTTTCTTTTTCTCCGTTTTTCTCCTTCTTTCTTTTTTTAGATTACCATGAAGTTTTGGGCCGAAGCCTGCAATCTCTGCAGGCCCGAAACCACATCATGTAATATTAGTTTAATACCAAGAGTCACTCGATCATGTGATTTATAAACTTTGCCTAGATCATTTACCAGTCGAGCTAACGACTCTTGGTTACTCCTTCGTCTTCTCCTCCATCCCTTCTTCTTCTTCTTTTTCATCTTTTCTTCTCATTCTTCTCCTTCGTTGTTCTTCCTCTCTCTCCTTCTTTTTCTTCTTCTATGTATCAATATTCTTCTTCATCTATTCTTTTCCTTATTATCCTTCGTCTTCTTCCTCTTCATCCATTCTCTTTCTTCTCCGTTCTCCTTTTCCGTTTTTTCATCTTCTCTATTGGTCTTATTTGTCATCATTTCTCCTTCTTATTCATTTTTCTTCTTTTTTATCCTTTCTTATTATCCTTTCTTTTCCTTCTTCTTCTTTATCACTTATTCTCCTTCTTCTCATGTTCTTCTCTTTTTTTTTCTCTTTTCTTCTTCTTTTTCATCTACTCTTCTTCTCATCCATCACTTCTCTTTATTCTCCTCCTTCTTCTTCTCCTTCTTATTTGTTCTTCTTCTTCTTTGTCAAACAAAAATGATAAATTAAAAACTAAAAAAATTAAAAATAACCACCATATACATAGTAAACAAACTGAAACAAAATATTTAACATATAAAAAATTAATTTCGACTTAAAAATATTGATGTTTGCAAAAATATTTTTTTTTGAAAATCTAAATAGAGAAAACAATTAGCCAAAATAAATTAGAGAAAATGAGATAATGTGAGTTACTGTTTTTATTTCCCTTATAGTTTATTGAAATAATATTATAATAAATACTTTTATTTTATTAATTGTAAATTATGAAAATCTTTTATTAATTTACTAACTTATTATTAATATGTTTTTACATCTACAATAAAAATTTATCAATATTTTGTAATGTTTTTGAAAATATGCTAGAATACATATTTTTAGAATATGCTTTAAATTTATGCAGTTACTGTTTCTTAATTCAAAAATATTTTAATTTTTTTTGAAAAGCTTGCTCCATAATTTTAGTAATCGAATATTAATAAAATATTACAAAATCGATTCATTAGATATTTTATAGAACTAAATATAATTTAAATAAAATTACATGGTTATTATCTTTTACTGTTAATTAACCATGGTTTTTTTTTAAAAATTTGAACAGGTTGCTTTTAAATTTGAAATTAATCTAATCAAAATTTAATTTAATATTAGATTGCACTAAACATATAACAAATAATATATAATTAGTCATAAAAATTAGGTTTTAGTTTATTTTCCTACAAACATATGTGTTTGGTTATATTATTGCATAATAATAAGAATATGATTTTTTGTAATAATTTTTTTGCAATATGTTTTATATTATGTAAATGTATAATTTAATTATATATATTTATATTAAATATAATTGTTATTTTCTTATATTTTTACATAATAATAAAGATTTGAAAAATATTATTTGTTATTTTTCGCAAAATGTTTTAAATTGTTTAAATATTTACAATTTAATCTCATATGTATAGTAATTATAAATGTCATTTTTATATAAAGTTGGTTGTAATTAATTCTATGATTAATTAAATTTTTCGAAATAACTATTTATGGGAAATTCGAAATTAGTTAAATGTGTTTGGTAATTGGAGTTAAACTAATCTAAAGAATATTTGAAAATTAATGTGTTTGGTAATAGGAATATTAGAATTAAATAAAGAAAAAAAAATAAATATTAATTGGTTGAATTAACAAATGACTAAACTGCCATTAATGAAATTCTAAGGAATATGTTAAAATGCAATGGCATTTCATGTAATATAACACATAAAATTTGTTTAAACATTGAAGTGATCCTTAATTAATAGTATGGATACTCTAGCGAAGGGTTGTTTGGTTGAAAACTAATACTATAATATGATTATTGTTTGCCAAGAAGGAACAAAAATTAAACAAATACAGTATTATGTAAACTCAATAAGAGGTATAGTATTCAGGAGTATTTATTCAGGCCCAATGTACTTCATACGGTGAATGTAACAAGTTTTGAAAGCTCACTTAAACTAAGGCCTATTAATATCTTAGATTAGATTTTTCAATCATTGTTTTTTTTCCTTTCTCTAAGGTGAATGTTGTTTTGGCTACAGGCTTTGGCATCGGAAAAAGACTTGGTTCATGCTTTATTTGATGTAGACTCAGCAGATTATAAATCAACCGAGAAGAATACCTCTGAGAATATGTAAACAACATCATTTTTAGATAATGATTGATCCTAAATAATTGTTTTGTTTGCTTGTCAATCCAAATTAAAACACCGATTTACATAAAACTTACGATTTATATATATCAACAAGTTAATTGTAACAAAACAATCGACTTATAACTTTAAGATTAGAAATACCTAGATGTCTCGATCCAGTTAATTGGACCTCCGCACACCGTAATGTTTCAGCTCCCGAATTTCCCAAACTCGACCAAATTAGGATTCGTGTTATCATTAGGTGTCAAGAGAAAGACTGAGTTTCATTCTTTGAAGTTGAAGGAGGGAGGGCAAATAACCGTATCTCCAGCTACAAGCACCACAGTATTCGCCGGTGCTGGTGGTGGTTTTCTGAATTTGATAAATCTTTTATTCTTGAAAAGCCTCTTATTCATAAAGTTTTAAAGCTCTCCATTAATCTAAATATTTATGGCCTGGTCACTCGGATTGTTAAAGTTGTGGTATTCCAAAATACTATCATTCTTTTCGGAGGCTCTTTTATAAACTGAGTTTTTTTTACAATTTATTCTCTTTTTGGTCGTAACAAATGTTGTACAAAATTAAAGATCCAATCCACAAATATCA